AATGCAGAGATGCAGCATGATTTCTGATGGGAATGCCTTTGCTTTTGACTAGTATTACCTACGGACAACAATAACAAAATTTCTGTAAGTATTATTCAAATTGATAGAGTGTTATTCTTTTTTTTTTCCGAGGAGATTATTTAGTGGACAGGAGGAAATAAAAAAAAACAGAATCAAACCTAGCTATAAAGTACTTATATTTTCTAGAAAAATATTAAAGCAGAAACAGAAATTATCTAATTCACATGAAAAGCAACAACTAGGCACGCTGCATACAATGGAAAATGTGAAAAACAAAACAAGTATTTTAACATGGGTATTAGTTATGATTTTAATCATTTAATTTTTTCCATACAAAAAACAGTCATACTATTGCATGGTTATTTTGTTTTGTTAGAAAAGAGAAATCAGCATATGAGCTTTTTATATCCCTTGTATTCTTAACGTATTTGACGTGAAAACGTATTTTAATTTTATCCAACCTTGCAAGGTATTTCGTTGTGTAGTTGTTGAGGTTGTACTCGTTGTTCACAACTAGAAATGCTTTAATGGAATTAACTGATTAAAATATCTGATTGGACTAATCTCAATGTTTTGTATTCTATGAGCTGCTGATTCTCTAAGCCATCAAGGGACTTGTTTTGTCTGTAATTTAATGACAAGTATAGACTTGATGGCTATTGTATGTAATATGATAATTATCATTTCGTTTTTTTTACAGCTGTTTAGAATTCAGAAGACAAAATTTTTGGACGTTTTTATTTGTATAATTTAGTGTACGTAAATAGGATGGCTGACAGCAAACTCCCTCAATGAAGGAAAACAAAACTACACACCTTTTTCTTCATGATCGAAATATATCCCTGCTGGACATGATCAAAAGATATCCCTGTTGGACATCTTCATTTTGTACACTTGAGTACATAAATATCCTCACACGAGAAAGCTTCATGAAATGCATCATTAGTATCTTTGCTTTGTTGAGGGGCTTGTAATATGCATAAGTATATATATATATATAATCATTCATTATAAGCCTACCCCAAATCTGCACATACGTGTGAAATGTCGATTGAGGCACTTTTAATACATATAAAATGAAGAAGAGTATCATTATTATTCTCAGTAACCAAAAACTTTTTCCAATAAAAATACTCTGGAAGAAAAAAAAAAACAAGCAACAGCAAAAAATACAAACCTAACAGAGTTTTACTTTAAATGTTTTGGTTGAATTTCTAGCCAGGAGCATGTAATCTTATATACAAAGTGTTCAAAGAAACAAAATTGTTTCGTTCATATGAAAAAGATGGTTTGAGAACGTTTATATTTTATGTGATTATTGTACGAAGAACAGGTGCTTTTATTTAAATTTTATAATTTCGTTTTCATAAAATTTCGAACTTAACA